CAGTCTTATAGACAGACTTTAGAACATAATTTTCTACGAAGAACAGGTCATAACTTTCAAACCGTAAGTCAGAATCAGACGAATTATATATAAAAATCAACTATCTCGGCGAGATGGAGCAACCAAACCTACCCCATAGGGTTCGGTTTGATCTTGTCTGTTTCGCCAAATTCTTTACGGTTTGAAAGATATATGCGTTTTGATTTGAAGAGACCGTCAATTTGTAGTCTCTTTTGCTATAGCGTTACAAAGATTATCATCTTGTAATATTCTTCTTGGCTCTTTGAAAATATGAGAGTCGTTAAATTGTAACTCCTGATGTTAATTGTGAAGGCTGTTGATTAGAGCTTTTATCAGTTATTATGAAGGTCGTCAGATTATAATCTTCATCGATCTACGTGAAAGTCCTCAAATTATAATCTTCTGGAAGCCATCAAATTGTAACTTCCATCACCGGTGTTTGATAAGGATAAGCTATCTGTAGTAATTTTTAGACAGCCTACACTCGTGGATGGTCGATACTCTTTAGCTGATCTCCTAAGTTATGGCTCTGCAAACTCCTGTTGCTGGTGATGCTCCCCCTACTGAGGAGCCTCTTGCTTGTGATCCTGATCACCGTCTCCCTGCTCTGGTATCTGAATGTCATCATCAACATCATCATCATGCACCTGCTCTATATCCGTAGGATGTAACTGTACTTGAGATGAAATGAGTGTTATATCTGAAATCTCACTAGCAATACTCTCTGACTGCTTTGCTCTCCCGAGATCTGCAATAGTCTGATCCTCCTATAAAATCACATCTGCTCGACTGATAATTCGTCTCCTTTCTGGATCACATAGTTTGCAGCCGAACTCATCTTCTTCATAACCAAAGAAGATGCAAGGAACCACTCTATCATCAAGCTTCTGTCTCTTCTCCTTCGGAATGTGTACAAAAGCCTTGCAACCAAACACCTTCAGATGAGAATAGGAAATATCTTTTCCGGACCAAACTCTTTCTAGAATATCAAAACCCAAAGGAACTAAAGAAGACATGTTGATTATGTAGCATGCAGAGCGAACAGCTTCAGCCCAGAAGCTCTTAGGTAACTTCACCATCTTTAATATGCATCTGACTTTCTCCACAATGGTCATGTTGTACCTCTCTGCAACTTTATTATGTTGTGGTGTGTCGGGCTCTATCCTCTGATGTCGAATATCATGCTTGGAGCAATAATCTCTAAACTCAATGGAAGTGTACTCTCATCTATTATCGGTGCGTAAACACTTTAACTTTTTTTTATGTCAGCCTCTCCACTATGGCATGAAAATTCTGGAAGATTGAAAACACCTGGTCCTTTATCCTTAATAAGAAGATCCACATCCTCTGTGATGCATCATCAATAAATGTGACAAAATACTTATTATCACCCAAGGAATCCACCTCAATAGGACCACAAACATCAGAATAAATCAAATTTAGGATATTATCTTTTCTTTTAGAATACTTACTAAAAGAAACTCTATGTTGTTTGCCAAACAAACAATAATCACAAGGGGTGAGTGACGAACATTTAACAAAGGGAATGAGAGAATTTTTTGCCAATATTTGCAATCCCTTCTCGCTCATATGCCCGAGCCTCGTATGCCACAAACTGAGAGTGTCAGTCTTGAGCCACACTCAAAGAATCATATGAAACATTTGCTTGAGTGTTATATAAATTGTAACATATACTTCCTCTAGTTACAACAAGAGAGCAATTGGTGATTTTACATTTTTCTTCACCAAATTGAATTTCATATCCCATTCGTTCCTAAGTAAGACCTGAAATCAAGTTGAGCCACAAATTGAGAACATGCCGCATATTCTTTAAGATCAATATGCATCTGGTATTTATCTGCAAGTGTATATAACCAAGTCCCACAATCTTTGAGTAGCTGGTATTGCCCATTTTCGTATTGCCAAAGTCACCTGCTTTATACGATGTGAAAAGGTTACGATTGGAAGTAGCCTGACATGTAGCTCATGTATCCACTATCCACTCGGAATTCTGACGTGTAACATACATACAGTCTTCTTCCCTGCAAATGAGAATAACGTCAGTCTCAGACAAAGTAGTTGTAGTGTCACTGTCAGCTTTCTTCTTCCTATCTTTCTTTTCATCTTTGTTCTCACCTTACTCTTTCTTCAATGCCCAATAATTCTTCTTGATATGATCTGGCTTCCTACAATAAAAATAACCTCTTACATTAGACTTTGATCTGCCCTTAGATATGCCATGACCTCTAGACTGGTCTATGTACCTTCTCCTACCCCTATTCTCCGCGACAAGTACCTGTGAGTTATCTGTGCTGGTAGACTTCCTCTGAGTCTCCTCATTGAATAAACTACTAGTAACCATACTCATCGATAACACACCATCTGGAGTTGTATTGCTAACTATCACAACCAGTGTTTTCCAATTGTCTAACAAAGAACCCAATAGCAATAAAGCATGTAGCTCATCATCGATATTCATCTTCATGGTATGTAATTGATTAATCAAACTCTTAAACTCATTCAAGTGCCCTGCTATGTTACTTCCTTCTTAGAATTTTAAGTTCACCAACCACCTCATAATAAACGCCTTATTTCCTGCGGTCTTTTGCTCGTAGAGATCCTCAAGCTTCTTCCAAAAATATTTTATATTAGTCTCACCCGATACATGATGAAACACACTAACGTCGATCCACATCCGAATATAACTGATCGTCTTCTTGTGTTGTTTCTCCTATTCTTTATTAGTCATCTTTTCTGGCTTTGTTTCATCTCCCTCAATAGAGTCATGTAAATCTTTACAATACAGAATATCTTCCATCTTGAATTTCCATACTTACCAATTGGAACCATCCAATTTTATTATTGTGCAAAAACTCTCTATCTTTTTCATTCCAAAGAACGCCTTGAACCAGTGCTATGATACCACTTGTTAGGAATTTTACGGAGATTAATCTGCGGAATTAAACACTAAATGAAAAACAGTACCAATGAAAATATCACAAGCAAGCAAACACCATGATTTAACGTGGTTCGGCAAATAGTGCCTACGTCCACGGGGCAATCCAGAGAAAATATTTTACTATGAATCAAGAGTACAATCCCTCCAAGTTATACATGAACTTGAGGATTAAATCATAAGAAAAAGATACAGTGTTACCTCTATGATATCAAAACCCTAAAACCCATCTTACTAGCGCCATACCCTCGATGGTGTCGTCATTCTGAATACAACGACTTTTGAATCACTGCAATCGGACAACCGAGCTATCCAGAATCTATCTCCCCCCCCCCCCCCCCCCTCTCTCTCCCCTCTTTTCTTTTCTCGGGTAACTGTTCATGGTTACTGTAGTGCCGAAATTAATTTCAGGGTTCTCATAAAATAGAATTCTCCAAGTCTATTCTATTATAAATAGATCATCTAAATATTCTTCTAGATAGAATTTTATTTTATGTGAAACTCATGTGGGTCTTATCTTGGACTGGACCCACAACAGTGCTTACTAATAAATTACAAGTAAAAATAAAGAAAATTATCTATGAAGTTTCTAGCGGTGTCCTATGACAACAGAATAACATTCCTATCAGAACCAAATATTATGTAGGAAATTGTGGAGCACGCATGAGCTATAATATACCAAAATGTCCCCTCTTATAGGCATCATACTTAGATCAGAATACCCCGCATTGTGTGGCGTTTTGATAAGATATGTATTCATGATACCACTAGACATTATACAATTCTTTTAGTGTCCATAAGGAGTTAAGTATGGACCATCTAATGTGCAAGTTTTATCCCTTCACAGAGCACCCGTAGGAATGACATCCATTTTAGCACCAATCAAAGCACACAAGGGATGTTTAAAACTGAGAGAAATCATTTCACTAATCTTGCTCATCTTAAAGGGCATCATTTCATCGTAAAGAGATCTTAAAGAAGAAAACACATCATTTCACTCATTCAATCTCATTAGAAGTTATTTGGAACTGAAAATGTTATCATGACAAGTTGTTGGAGATAAAATCCACTTAATGAACCACCATATCCGTATGCCACTCAATTGTACAAAGAGTTAATAAAATTATGCAAATATATTTGTTTGTTTACTTACTGGACCTGAAATTATAGTAATCAGACTGCAAATAGTTTTGACTATTTTACCCATAGACCTTGCTTCAATACAAGGCAATGAATGTGCACTTCACACGCGCAAAATCTAGGACCTATGGAGGTAATCTATTGCAGATTTCCAATCAAAATCAACAAGAAAGTGACTTGCAATAGCGAATTCACCAAGCGTGGAACTTTATGGGGGATGGCTATTCAAAGTTGATATGATGAAAATATTTGCAATTTAAATAGGAAAATTCGAATAGTCCGAGCACTACACTTTCTGATATCCAAAGGATTCCAAGTCAAGGATAGAATGATAGCCACTGAATTTCTTTGGATAATGATATCCCAATTATAAGTCCAATTATGCAAATTTTGTTCTCTTGCTAAGAGCCCATCAATCTGCCTTAGGATTCAGCAACTTGTTACCTTAGCAGTTGCAATACTAATTCCTTTAACGAAGTATGATGATTTCAACCTTGATTTGTTAAGGTCTGTGGAGTCAGCACTCAGAAGAATCAGAACATAATGGATTTATCAACACTACTATAGTGAGTTTGAGGGATTACTCAAATCCAAATATATCAGGTATCAAAAATAATCCAGCTGTCTGTACTTTTTAGAATAATAGAGAGAAATGATTAAGACCATATCAACATCAAAGCCAGATATTTGCTTTGTTCTTTTCTCATATGCAAGAAAGGCATCTGGTTTAAAAACCCATCTAATTTATTAGTAACTAGCAAGAATCTAGCAAAGTAGGAAACAAGCCACGTTGGCAATCAAATCCATTAAAATACTATAGCAAATAAATTCAATTGCAAGTTGGCTACTCCTCACTACATGAAAACACCCACATGCCATCCCCTTCAAGTTTAAGCAAGTTAGATTAAAAACTCAACCACCCAAGAGACCCAGAGTTGTCTCAAGTGCAGGGGACAACATACAAATAGAAATCAATGACCAAGCCCTACATATAATCAGTGAAAATCCCGCAACTTTACACAGTTGCATAGCAACGAGCCACTAAATTAAACAGTAAAGGCAAAGAAAAATTACAGCAATATGGGCCACCGCATTTTTCTCCCTTGAGTGCACTAGTGGGCGCAAATCTCTGCCTCGAAAGCAACCAACACAAAAGAGACTCATCAAAATCTGTGGAGTTGCTTTCACAAAGTGACCTGAAACAGTAACTAGGAACAGTATTTACAAAGACAAACACCAAATCTAAACAACACTGCCTTGATCTGAGGAGCCGTCTTCATAGTAGTAAGGAGAAAGCTTCCCGCTCTTTTTCTCGGGATTGAATTTGTCATCTGATCTCACATCTTGAATCATTTTCACGGCTCTTCTCATCGATGGACGGTTGATGGGGAGAGCACTGGCACAGAGAAGACCGATGTCGAGCAACTTGCTCATCTCGTCTCTAAAGCAGATATCGAGTTTTGGATCAAATACATGCTCCATTCCTTTTTGCTCTATTATGGTGCATACCCATTTCACTAGATCCTTTTCTCCGAACTCTGGATCAACTGGGAGTTTCCCAGTCACTAGTTCTAGAATAACTACGCCAAAGCTGTAGATATCACTCTTTTCGTTCACCCTGAGAGTGTATGCATACTCTGCGTGCACAGAAATCAGAAGACTTCAGTGAAAAGAGCAAGCATGGTTTTAAAATTATTGGCATCAATAAAGCAAATCAAATAAGGAAATATTATCTTCTCTCTAAAAGGAAGGCAGCGATCTTGAGGATAACTAAAACAAGAGTTGATAAAGATCTACGCAATAAAGCACTAGCTAGAGAGTAAAGAACTAATTATGTGATGCGCATGTCAAAATTTGCTCAGGGAAGGTGGAGTTTTATTATAAAACTTGGATGCAGATACAGTAGGAATCCAAGTATCTGAACCTAATATTTAATGAATGCGCACCTACAAAGAGGGACAAGAAACTTCTTGGTTGTGATAGCAAGAGCATGCCAGCTAGTATTTGAAGATAAGAGCTTGTTTATAGCTTAGTAAAGGAAGAAATCTGAAGGAATATCTTCAGCAATCAACTTATAGTTAGACAGTTTAATCAACCAAGTCTCTAGAAAATCTTATGCATCTCATATTCTGTAATTGATCCCAAATTCATATAAACAAAATACATGGGTAAGAATAGGCCATTGAAGAAATATGAATTAAATCAAATACTATGCAGATTCATGTGAATAATCTAAAACTGGGACAACAGGCATATCTATAACAACGTATCAGCAAATTAATAGCACATAAATTGTTAAGAAAAAACAAAACAACATATTCAGAGGGTTATAGAATCACAAACCAGGCGCAAAATATCCACAAGAGCCAGCGATCACCGACATAGATTTTGCTCCTCCGATCACTTTGGCAACTCCAAAATCAGCCACCTTTGCCCTAAAATCCCCATCCAACAAGATATTATTGGACTTAACATCTCTGTGCACAATGGGAGGTACACAATCATGATGAAGATAGCAAAGCCCCTCAGCCGCATCCAAAGCAATCCTATACCTCATTGGCCAATCCAAGATCCCGCTCTTGTTACTATGCAGCAAATCGCCCAAACTCCCATTAGGCATGTATTCATAAACCAAGAGCTTACAATCCTTATGACTACAAGAGCACCATAACTTCACTATGTTCTTATGCCTAATTTTCCCCAGTGTCTCAACTTCAGCCTCGAAACCATCATCGTCTTGATTATGATTCAAATTCTCAACATCTTTCTTTGCTGACCCCCACAGTTTTTTCACAGCCACAGCTTCTCCGTTGCTGAGCACCGCCTTGTAGACTTTACCCGAAGCCCCACTACCAATAACATTATCCTCATCCAGGCAATCCAAGATCTCGTACTCACTGAATCCCAGCTTGTGGAAAGATGTTAGGGTCCATTTAGATCGATCCATTCTTTGTTTTGCCTTCGTGAAACTTCGATATCTCCAATAGAACCAGAACACCCCAGTGAAGAGAATCAACACCGATAGTATGAACATGGACTTTATCAACCAAATCTGGCTGTGTCTACTTGTTGATCTTTGTTGAGTGCACAAGTCAGGGAGATCCTGACACAGCCCGGGATTGCCCAAGAAACTCTCTCTGTAAACCAGGGTCTTAAACATTGGGGGAAGAGGACCAGAGAGCTGGTTATTTGACACATTGAATTGATTCAGCTTCAAGTCTTGAAGCTTGAGTGGAACTTCTCCAGTTAACAAATTTCCAGAGAGATCAAGATAATTGAGAACAGGCAAGTCTCCAAGCTCTGATGGAATCTCACCAGTGAGCTCATTGTCAGCAAGATTCAGCTGGCTGAGCTTCTTCCATGACTCTATTCCTGTTGGAATTTCACCTGATATTGAATTGTTATGAAAATCAATTCGCCCGAGCTCTGCAAGTTTAGCCATCTCTAATGGCAATGGCCCCGTTAATCTATTGTTGGCGACAGAGATTTCATAGAGATTTGCCAACTCACCAATTTCTTTAGGAATTTGACCACGAAATTGGTTGTTCGAGATCAACAACTTTGATAAATTTGCAGCACCGGATATGGACGGAGAGATTGAACCTGATAAGCTGTTGCCAGCGAGCTCGAGCAACGAAACATGAGGAAGTCCCCAGAATCCAGTGGGAACAGAGCCAGATAGCTTGTTATTTAACAGGCGAACTCGGGTCAGAGACTTGCATTTGCTCAGAGACTCAGGAATTCCGCCCGATAACTCATTGTCGAGCAAAAGTAACTCTTCCAGAACCCCGTTGTTGCATATGCTAGAAGGTATTTCGCCAGAGAGCAAATTATCAGATAGATCAACAAAGCTCAGCGGTGATTTACTACCGAAATCGGCGGGAATACTTCCACAGAGTTTATTAGAGAACAACCTTAGATCAGTGAGCTTCGAAGAGCTCGACGTCGTGACAGGAATTGAACCAGAGAGATTGTTCTGATACAGATGCAAGCTATCAAGAAGAGGCAAAAGAAAAATATCATCAGGGATTGAGCCAGAGAGATTGTTCATTGAAAAATCAATACTCCGAAGAGAACTAATGTTCGAAAACCCCGGAGGGATCGAACCCGAGAGAGAATTCTCGTAGAGCTCAATCTGAACAGCAGAGCTTAAGCCCACGAAAGAAGAAGGAATAGGCCCAGTCAGTGCATTGGTTGAGAGATCAAGATCAGTCAGCTTTGAAAGCTTACCCAATGAAGAAGGAATGGGTCCAATTAAATTGCACCCAGAGAGCCAAAGAACCTCAAGAGATGAAAGATTACCAAAAGAAGCAGGAATTGGGCCAGGAGTAAATGGGTTGTATGAGAGATTGAGCTGCTTAAGAGTGGAAATGTTTGAGAAAAACTCAGGGATTGGGGAAGTGAGAAGATTGGCAACAAGGGAGAGGGACTGTAAACAGGGGAAGTGGGCAAATGAGGGAGGAATCGGTCCTGAGAAATTGTTACCAGAGAGATCAAGGTAAGTTAAGAGAGGGAGAGATGAGAGAGAAGAAGGGAGTGAACCCACAAGGAGGTTCTGAGAGAGGTCCAGATGTGTTAGAGAGGAGCAGGGGAGGAGAGAGGACGAGGAGAGAGAGGAGTTGATGAAGTTGGTAGAGAGAGAAAGTGAGGTTAATGAAGGGAGTCTGCAGAGAGGAGGGGGAAATGGGCCTGAGAGATAGAGATCGGAGAGATCAATGGAGGTAACAGAGGAAGAAGAAGAAGAGCAAGTGATGCCAGTCCAGTTGCAGGGATCTGGGTCTGACGGGTTCCAGTTTGAGAGTGAGTGGTTGGGGTCATCAAGGAATTGCTTCGATTGGAGGAGGATGATGCCATCACTGTTGAGAGAGAGAGCTGGGTTCAGAGAGAGGTTGAAGATGATGGTGATGATGAGAAGAAGCATGGTCCTTCTTTCTTTGATCTCTCAGAATGGCTCTCTCTGTTTCAGAGGGAAACAGAGGGGGAGAGGTGCGTGTTTTGAGTTTCCAGGTTCAGGCTTTTTGAGCTAGAGAGATCATCGGTATATTATTCTGTTCGTTTTTAACTTTGTGAGTTTTTTTTTTTTGTATTTTCACTGTTTTTTTTTAGGGGAGTCCTTTCATTAAGCTCGTGAGTGATAACTGATGCTTGTCATCTCATAACTGGGCAGTGTAATAGGTGTCACATCACTGCATTAGTAGCAGATCAGGCATGGCTGTTTGCAGTTCTCTGCTTCTGCTGCTTGACTTGAGCCATCGATTCATGAAGCATTTAACCTTGAGTTTGTTACTCTCATTACAGTTACAATTTTAAAAAATGTGCCTGGTACCTGAATCTAAATTAGACGCTAGACAGGTTGTTTTTTCTATATAGTAGTCCACAAATCTTTAATATTTTGAACGTAGCCTTTCAGATCATTATAATTATAGGTAAGTCCCTAAATTTTTATAAATTTGTTTCAAAAGTAGTGCCTCAAAGCACTGAAATTGCTATTACACCCATTTGTTCTTATAAGTTATTTCAAATTTTTCTCTCCAATCAAGAGTGATAGTTAGAAGGTATAATAAGATATGGGGGACCTAATAGGGGTTTGTAATGATTTAAGAAATTAATTTAAAAATATTACAAATTTAAAGGACTAACATCGGAAAAACCCTAGAAAATATTATTTTAAATATATAAAGTCTTTTTAATATATGAATCCAATTAATATTATCGGGTTTCAAATTATTTAAGAATATGTCAAAATATTTATATTATATTGAAAATATAAAAAAAATGGTTTATATGTAAAATCATTGAATTGAAATTAATTTCTAAATTATAAAGTAGGACTTATTTTTATTATTTTTACTCTTTACCTATAGTTGTATATGAAAAATATATTTAACCATATGCGCGATGCACATTAAAGAAACCAGATAATAGAAAAATGAATTAGTTTTACTTAACGGATGTCAAATGCTGTGAATATTAATTGTTGTGTTTGGATAAATCAATTGTAAAAAAAAAAAGCGCTATTTTAGCCCAACAAATACCAATCGACACGAGTACTTCCTTTAAGTTTAAAATTATCACAGCTCTCCATTACAAGCTCGGTCTCATCTTGAACAATACAAACTCCCATCGACCAATACATAGATTACAATAACCCACTAAACAAATAACAGGGTTACTTCCCCCCACCCCCACCACCACCAAATAAAACAAAGATATAAATGCAAGAAAACCAAGTCAAACACATTACCCTTCCAAAGCTCTGCCTCTCTCAATTTATCCTCGAAATCATGCCCCTCCTCTTCAAATTGTTTCTCACATTCCAATGCTCACCAAAGCGTTCACTTTTTTTTTGCCAAAAGCCCTCATGCGAGTTAAGTCATTCTCCCCTATCACACGCTTTCTATCTGCAGGGGCTATTTTAAAGCTCTGGTTACAAATACAACGGTCTCTTGCTTCTCTTTGCAGTTTGCACAATAATGGCTTTGCTAAGTTTGTGAAAAGAATTATGTTATAGAGGTCACTTTGAAAATTATACAAAGAAAAAGAAAACGGTTATTGGGACGTTAGCCCTCCAAATCTTCACTGTTTCGAATTAGACCCCCACATCTTAAAAATGGATCTCAGGCCCCACAACTCTTCAATGTTTCGATGCCCCAAATCTTTGAAATTGATCTCAACCCCCCACCCCCCACCCAGCACCCAAATCCTATTAGTATATTGAAATAAGTCCCTTAGTTAAACTCTTGTTGGGAATATTCTGCTTACTTTTGACTTTTTTGGCTATTTGTCAGTTATACTCTTTTCACATAAACCCAAATTCATTAACCACTTTCACTTATACCGTTAAGCTCCCAAATCTGATTAATAAAACCCTAACTAAAACTCATTTTTCACTTCATCTTTTCCAACATCTTGCCCAATGACTCTCTTCAGCTCTTATCCCTAATTTAAAATGGATAGATTCCTATAAGGAAAGATTGTGGAGAAGACGAAATGCAAATTGAGTTTAATTTAGGATTATATTAAACAGATTTTGAGAACTTAACAAGTAAAAGTTAAAAGTGATTAATGTGTTTCAGTTTACACGAGGGGGTATAACCGGAGAATCACCAAAAAAATTAAAGTAAACGGAATATTCTCCTCATTATAATCATATTTTAATTAGGGATATTTATTTCAACATGCTAATAGGATTTGGGGGCTCTAATATCAATTTCAATAAGATTTGGAGGGCTAATACAAAATAGCCCAAAAGAAAAATATGTTGTTCATTCTACCATAAAATTTTAATCAGTGTAGATAGTAATTGAATTTACTGGTGAATTCTGCATCAAACAGAATATTGTATTCATGTAATCATTAATATTGTATTAGTATAGTCATAAGGTGTTGATGTACTAGTGATCACACAGTCAGTTGGATCCAGAATAGGATCGGTTTTGCGAAGCAGAGGAGATTGATGAGGTGGTCGCCTTCTTCCCCGATTTTATGTCTAGTTCTTGAATTGGGGAGCTAATGAATCTGCACACATAGAAACTCGTGAGAGAGCGAGGATTGGTTCCCCCGTTGTACATCTGACGATCAGGTTAGTTGATAAAATTGAATGGGAATAAAACTTAGGGCTTTGAAACCCCCCTTGAGAAGGCGAATAGTACCTTTATATATAAGGTGGGAGAAGGGTAGATTGGGCATTCTGGACAAGTATGGAGAAATGATGGCGAGGTATGGGTTGGTGGCTACGTCAGCACCTTCTTTATAAATGTCGGCTGACAACTGGTGGAGAGATCACTTCAGCGTTGGAGAGATCGTCTCAGCATCGAATGGAGAATGATTTGACGGCATGGCAGAGCCCAGAAGACGTGAAAAGTCATGGAGACTATTGGGGTTAAGGCCACGATGGGACTTGTCAATAGCTGATTATGGTGCTGACATGTGGCCTTAAGGGGGAGACCCAAGGCAGATGCTTACCCTTTTAATCTAATCAAGGAGTAGCGCTTTCCGAGTCATTCGGCGAATGGTCGAGTGGACTCGTGACGAGTCGTCTTCGACAGAAGGGGACGGCAATTTCCGCCTTTCAAGTCGACATGATAGGATGTTGAGTGGTCGAGTCAACGGAGTGGTCATTCTTACTAATCTCTGGCCATCAAGTTGATTAGGGCAGGACTTGCAGATGTACACTTGGCCTTGAATCATACTCGGACAAATGGGATCACCATAACAGTTGACCCCTTTCGCTTGGAGTTAGTTTGAGTCGGGTTCGAGTGAAATAAGATAGGCTTTAGGCCAGTGTGAATCTACTTAGGATGAGAAATTGAAAAGTCTCTTCCAACTGACATGACTAATGAAACTGTGTACTTGGACCGCCAGATCTAATCTCTGATGAACGGTCAGAATTGAATTTTAGGAATCGAAGCGTTATGGAATTAGTAGGAAGCGTTTCGATTTTCGATAGTGGCAAAGTGAAGTAAATAAAAGAGTGGTGCTTCGTAGCTCGAGTGAACCGTTTGAGATTCTGAAGCGGATCTCATCTGTTTGTTTCGAAATATTGTACCCCCTTAGATCAGACCATGTGTCTTTCATAAAACTATAAATAGCTTGCTGGGGGCTGAGAAGGTTTCTTTACAAACTGTTGCTTCTGAAAAATCTTTGGCGTTTCTCTAGGCCTTTAAGCAGAAAACTTTCAATAGTTTCTCAAGCTTCGACCGCTGGCCATAATGAGGAGAAGATCGCTCTTCTTCGGCCCATTCGCTCAAGGATCTACATGGATGATCTAGAGTGGCTTTATAAGATCTATGATATCCCCAAGACTTTCACGCTAGCGGCGCCAAACAGAGGCGAGCCGGTGTATAGCCATGGTGTGAACCGGGTGCCATTGTATCTCGCTCATTTGGAGCATGGTATACAGCTGCCCCTTCATCCTTTCATTACGTAGGCATATGTCACCTTAGGGGTTTCACCTTCTCAGTTCTCCTCAAATACGGTGGGGATTTTGGTGGCCTTCATTGCCATCTACAATCGTGTTGGGGTTCGGCAGAGCATGAGGCTACTTGGGAACCTGATCAGTGTTGGATCGGCCGAAATGGACCAGCACTACTTTTACCACTATAGTGGAGATTTCCAGCTTGTCTCTGACACTTTGGAGTCGAACAGGGACTAGAGGGAGCGGTATGCGTGGGTCTATAGTGCCAACAACATTTTTGTCTGCTCGACTTGGCCCGAGGTGGTCAGAGACGCATTAAGCCCAATTGCCCTTAGTGATCAGGAGAGGAGGGACTTGGAGAGGATTTGCTCCTATGCGGGGTCGCAGGAGAGGAGCAACCTTTTTGACACGATGTCTCTTCGTGCGGCGGGTGTGTCCATGTATCTTGCCCTCCACTGGCGATCGGATGAGGTTGAGTCTCCTAGCTCTCCCACTAGAAAAGGGTTGCAACAGGAGCACAAGGGGCGAGGAGTCAGGCTCCAGTGTCGGGCCTCAAAAGAAATTGAGGGGAACTCTAGGCTCCGAGGAAGCTGCCAACACGATGCTTCTGTTAGACCCTAATGCCACTAGGAAAGAACCCTAGAGGGGGTGAATTGGGTTTATGCTAATATAATCCGATTTAATATAAACTAAAACTAATTAATAAATATCCTAGTAAGTATAATATGTGACTGTTATGGTAATTCACCATCTAAATATAAAAATATCAAGAAACTATCTCCATTGGCCCAAAAAGTTATGGCCTAAGCCGGCTTAGCGGCCCAAAGCCCAGCCGAGAACAAATCAATCGACCCACCGAGCGACGAATCATCTTTACCAACATGAAGTATGGGATCAGTCAATCCCTCATAATCAAGACGACTCCTCAAGAGTCTGTCCGCCTCATAATCGAGACGACTCCTCATGTATTTAACTCGACCATCTATTCAGATGTCTCCTCGGCCAGAAGCTCACTCGACTATCGGGCCAGCAAATCATAGGGACGACTCGGAAACCAACCCGTCTCTATTGAGGGGATAAAATCCAACTCAGCTCCCTTCAGATATGCATCAATCAACACTACAGTATTGATCGATCCCATCAAGATCTTAACTCTGACAAATCCCAGGCATAAACAGCTTACT